GGACCAATCGGATTTTTCAACACATGAATAGTAAATTTTCCAAAATATTTTCGTAAAATCAGATATAGCACAGTAACTTCTATTTAACACAAATACATCCTATACATATATTTTAAACAGATAATATTTTGTGTCAAATAATATAAAATATTCATATTAAAAAATCATAATTTATCACATAATATTTTAGATATCATCAAAATTAAACTACATGATTAACAATATGGTACTTCAAGACCAAAGAGTTCTTCATTATCTTCTCGAGGTCAAAAAATATTATTTTTCACATCAAGAGATCAAACAACCATAGGAGTACCCAAATGATGAGCTTTATCCATATAAAAGTTCTTCAAGACTTTTTCTGTATATGTTGATTAATGTACAAGAATTTCATTTGGCGAATGTACGATCTACAGGCTAAGACAAAATTTTATTTTGCCAAGATCATTCATATCAAATTTCTTCTTTAAATATTTTGTAGTTTTTGCAAGCTTTTCTAAAGTTTCTACAAGATTCAAACCATCAACATATACTGCAATAATTGCAAATCCGGATTTTGATTTCTTAATAAAAATGCATAGACAAATCGGATCATTTACATACCTTTCTTTCAACAGAGATACACTAAGTCGATTATACCACATGTGTCTGGATTGTTTCAACCAATATAGAAATCTTTGTAGCTTGATTGAACAAACATTTCTGGGTTTTGAATTAGATGCTTCTGACATTTTAAATCCTTCAGGGAGTTTTATATATATATATCACTATCTAGTGATCCATATAAATATGTTGTAACTACATCCGTTAGAAGCATATCTAAATTTTCTGTGATTACCAAGCTAATAAAAAATCTGAATGTAATTGCATCCATTATGGGTGAACATGTTTCCTCGTAATCAATACCAGGTCTTTGCGAGAAACATTGCGCAACAAGTCGTGCTTTATATCTTACAATTTCATTTTGCTCATTGCGTTTTTGAACAAACACTTATATATATAACCCACAGGCTGTATCCCTTCAGGGGTTTGGACTACAGGTTCAAATATTTCACGTTTTGTAATCGAGTTTAACTCTACTTGTATTGCTTCTTTCCACATTGGCCAATCATTTCTCTGTCAACATTCCTCAACAGTTTGTGCTTTATTGTCATCATCACTTTTGATTTTTCAGCATTACTTCTGGTAATGTCAAAAGCAACTTTAAACAAAAATATATTGTCGACAACAATTTGATTTCTATCCCAAACTTCTCCTGTACTCATATAATGTAATGAGATCTCATTATTTTCAGGTATCTTTTCCACTTCAGGCTCTACTTGTATTGCTTCTTTCCACATTGGCCAATCATTTCTCTGTCGACATTCCTCAACAATTTGTGCTTCATTATCATTATCACTTTTGATTTTTCAGCATTATTTCTAGTAATGTCAAGAGCAACTTTAAACAAAAATATATTGTCGACAACAATTTGATTTCTATCCCAAACTTCTCCTGTACTCATATAATGTAATGAGATCTCATTATTTTCAGGTATCTTTTCCACTTCAGGGAATAATCTTCAGGAAATTTCTCTTCTGGAGGTTCTTCTTCTGGAGGTTCATAAGTAGGAGATTTGGATAGGCTTGTTATAGCCTGCTTTGTGATTCTAACCTCTTTAGGGGTGCTTTCATTTATGGGTATGACCTCTCTAGGAGTTCTATTTGTTGGTTTCTTCTAGAGTACCAATTGTTTGTTCTTGAGCTTCCTCTTGCACCAATAGGTCTCCCACGCTTCTGGCATGCCTTAGACTCATTTGCTACTATACTCGCTGATTGTCCGATAGGAACATCAATTCTTACTGGGGTATTAACTGCTGGTATGTAAGACTTTGTCACATTTTTTGCGTCAGTGAATGCATCCGGTAATTGATTTGCAATATTTTGCAAATGAATGTCCTTTGAACTTCTAGTTCACATTGATTAATACGAGGATCAAGATGAGATAACATCAACGTATTCCAAGTGATTTCCTGCCGAGTTTCAAGCTGCGACTTGTCTCTCTCTAATGATGGAAAAATTATTTCATCAAAATGACAATCTTCAAATCATGCCATAAACACATCACCAATCAAAGATTCTAGATATCTAATGATTGATGGAGAATCAAAACCAATATAAATTCCAAGCCTACGTTGTGGACCTATGTTAGTGCACTATAGAGTTGCAATAGGAATATAAACCGCACAACCAAACACTCTAAGGTGACTAACAATTGGTGGTTGACCAAATACAAGTTGTAATGGTGAGTACTCATAATATGCAGTTAGTCTGACACGAATCAAAGATGTTGCATGCAATATAGCATGACCCCGTGCTGAAACATGTAATTTTCTTTTCATAATCAAAGGTCGAGCAATCAACCGAAGTTTCTTAATGAAATATCCAGCTAAACCATTTTGGGTATGAGTGTGTGCAATAGGGTGTTCAATATCAATGCCAATGGACATGCAATAATTATCAAATGCTCGGGATGTAAATTCACTGCATTATCAAGAAGAATTATCTTGATAGGCTGATCTGGAAAATGTGCTCGTAATCTAATTATTTGAGCAAGGAGTCTAGCAAATGCAACATTATGTGTAGAAAGTAAACAAACATGTGACCATTTGATTGATGCATCTATTAAAACCATAAAATAACGAAATGGTCCACAAGAAAGGTGTATGGGTCTACATATATCCCCTTGAATTCTTTGCAAAAAGGATGAAGATTCAATAATTACTTTTGTGGGTGATGGTTTGATAATTAATTTCCCTTGTGAACAGAAAAAACATGGATAATCACTTGGTAAAAGAATATCCTAGTTCTGTAATGGATGTCCATGTAAATTTTTAATTATTCAACGTTCCATTATAGATCTCGAATGCCTGAGTCAGTTATGCCATAGCATAAATGTTTTTGGGTTAGAGCACTTCTGCTGCATGACAATATGTGACTCAATCATTTTTATTATCGTATAATATAATTCAGATAAAGATGCAGTAAATTTTTCTAATACTAGCTTCTAGCTAGAATTAGTTAAAATAATCAATAAATACTTTTCCTGATATTTATTTATAGTTTCAATATGATAACCATTACGATGTATATCTTTAAAACTTAATAGATTTCTTTTGGATCTGGTAGAATACAAAGCTTCATCAATACAAATTTGTATTCCATTTGACAACATAATATTGGCTCTTTTAGAGTCCTCAATTAGGTTTGCAGAATCTGAAATTGTATTGGCATTAGCTTTTCCCATAACTATTGCATAAAATATTTTGTATCACATAAGATTGTGTATGTTGTTGCACTGTCAACTAGACAAATATCATCACCAATCGTTTTGGAGTTGGTCAACGCACCAATGAAAGCCATGCCTATAAAAAAAAACAGAAATTCATTATTCTCGAAATAGGAAAAATACAAACTATCAAATCCAAAAATACAAACTCGGAAGGCCTAACTAAAACAAGAAAATGAACACTCCAAAATAAAAAAATACAAATTTCAAAATCGTAAAACAGGACAATACAAAGCATAACCCAAAAATATGATATCTAGAAAATCAAGTTAATCAATGTGAATATTTCCATCACTAATTAAATGATCAATTTTTCTTTTAGAATCTTCAAAGAAATCGAAAACATCAAGATGATTAATATCAATGGATTCATAATGATTTGTGAAATATATCTCAATTCCTTTTCCTTTTTCTTTTATCGAGGCTTGGTAAAGATCTACTAAATATTTAGGCGTACGAGAAGTACGCGACCAATGCCTTTTCATACCACATCTGTAACAAGCATTTACATGATTCTTAGGAGGTTTATTCTGCAAACCTTTTACCTCTTTTTTAGTGATATTCCAAAATTATTCCACTTCTGGTGGAATGACATGTTATTATTCTGAACATATCCCCTACGGATTCGGTAATTATTTCTACCTCAACCACGTCCAAAACCATGACCTCTCCCTCATCCACGACCATGAAATGCAATCTCATTCATTTCAGGGAATAAAGCAAAACTGGCTTGATGTGATAGATGATTTCTCAATAACAATTGATTAGTTTGTTCAATCACAAGAAGACATGAAATCAGTTTAGAGTACTTTAAAAAATGAGCTCTCTATATTGCTACTGCAAGAGCACATTATCAGCGTGAAACGTCGAGAACGTTTTTTCAAGCATATCTTCTTCAGTAATTTTTTCTCTATATAATTTTAATCGAGAGATTATTTTAAATAAAACAAAATTGTACTCACTACCTAATTTATAATATTGCAACCTCAGGTGCAACCAATCATAACAAGCTCTTGAGAGGATTACGGTCTTCTAGTGTTCGTGTCTCTTTTTCAAATTATTCCATAGAATTAGTGATTTTTTTACCGTGAGGTATTCATCTTTTAATTCTTTTTAGAGATGATGCAAATGAATATCATTGTCTTTGCGCGATCCTACAAGGATGTTTCATTTTCATGTTTTATGATATCTTCAAGATTCATTACCTCAAGGTAGATCTCAACATCAAGAATCTAAAATAAATAATTTTTTCCAAAAATGTCAAGAGCTGAAAATTCTAATTTTGAAATATTTGACATGATTACTAAATTTAACAAAAATAATATATTTAGTATCACGTAAATATATTAAGGAAATATAAAATTAGCTTTAGAATTTATTTATACTTACTACAACCATCCAGTAGTTTTGTTTTCTCAGCTGGCTAAAATCTCGTACTGATAACGTGTTATAAAAATAAAGAAAATAAAGAAAAAAAAGTCACAATGAAAGAGGAAATAAAGAGTTTTTTTCTATATCATCATTAAAACCTTTACTACACCATATTTATCGTACCATGTGATTTATCACATGACATACCACACTTCCCACATAGTAAAATTTTTCCCTGTTTCCACTTTGATCCAAAGCTCATAAAAATTTCAATTACATCTATTTTGATGGCTATTCAAATATTTTACAACAAAAAATAAAATAGTGTTACAAACTAAATTGCAATAGGGTAAAAATTTGGAAACGAAAACCAGACAATCCTTCTCTCCAAATTTACATTTTGCATTTATTTACAGTTAGTTTAAAATAAAATAAAAATAAAAAGAAAAAAGAAAAACACCATCCCATATGATTCCAAAAATGACCTCCAATGTTGATTGAAATTACAATTTCTACCACAAGTTTCTAAAGAAAGATGAAACATTCCAGGGACACAAGTGGGTTTTCCAGTGACTCCTTTGTTGTCGGTGGTGCTGTTGTCTTCTTCTTCTCTTCCACTTTCCGGGTCTCCTCCGGCGAGTCGGACCACGCCCGACCCGGCGAATTCCCGGGTTTTCTACCCGACGAGCTCCTCCCCAGACCCTTTCTCGGTCCTCCACCACCCTCCGCCGCCGCCGGAGAACTAGTCCTCCGCCCGTTCGGAGATGGGTAAGACCTGGCGGGAGACTTACGCGTCCGGATCGTCGCCGGCGATCTGTTCTCTGGCACTGTTGTGACGGTGTCATTGAAGCTGTGAGAGAATTGAGAGACTACGACTTCTGTGATCATCAATGGGGTCTTCGTATCGACATTAGTATCGTAATCGTCTTCTTGGATCATGGGTTTCGGGATCGGAGTCTCGGAGAGGACTTCCTTGACAGTCTCTTCTTCGGGTGGTGGTGGTGGTGGTGGTGGTGGCGCCTCCTTGGAATGGTGGGAAGAGTCGAATCTGACGGCGGAGGAATGGGGGTGGTGGTGTTGGGGAGTAGGATTGAGGTTGGTACTTGCACAGCAACCCATTTGGATCTTGTATATACAATGCAAGTATATATATATGTAGCTAGTGAATTATGAATTGGGTTTTGATTTAGGGTAGTGGTGGAGATTAGGAGGCGGAATTGGGTGGGGATGAGGGTGTTTTCCGGCGAGGTTAAGGTGTCGGTGGGTTTGTAGTCTTTGTTGAATGAAAGAAGAAGAGCTTTTGAGCTTTGTAAATTGTAAGTGAGAGAAATGGGTGTGTGTGAGCTTTGTAAATTGCTAATGGAATGTTGGCCCATCTCTGCAACAGTTATTGGAGAGAGAGAGAGAGAGAGAGAACTAAATTTAGCGCCTTGCCAAACATGTTTTTGCTTTACTTATTTGGAGTCCAGTTTTTAAATTGAATGGTGCAATTTGGGTTGGTCAATCTTGATTTAATGGTTTAAATGATTCAATTTTATCAGATATTTTATGTATTTTAATTATATAAAAAATTAGATCAATAATTTATTATATTTATTATCAAAAAAATTATATAGAATATTTGACAAAATAAATAAGGATTATTTATTAATAGGGAGCTTTTTTGATAAATCTATTTTCTAAGAACTTTATTCCATTTAATCCATATTCTTTTTGATTATTCCATTAGGTCCAATTTGAGATAAGAAGACCAAAATATCCTTTTCATCTACTTATATTCTATTTAGTTCACATTATTTTCTTATGTTTCAATAAGTCCTATGGGTGACATAATTACCAAAATACCCTTAATGTGAATGTTCACACCGTCAATATAAATGTTTATATCGTCATCTCACAAACAAGCATTTCAATTAATCTTAAATTTTTTCTACTGATCTATTAAGTCCTATTAGTAGAGAGCTTTTTTCCGTATTGTCCTATTTTTGTTTTGGTAGTGTTTTGGTGAATAACTATACCATTTTATTATTGTGATATGTATGATGTGATACTCTAATGTGACAAATATTAATATGACATTCTAAAAATGTGACACTCTAAAAAAATAAAAACTCTTTAGTGTACTTTTTTTAATTGTGATAACGTAACAGATATGATGTGATACTCAAAGACTTTTATTCCAAATAATACTAAAAATTCCTTAATGTTTTTTCTCAAATGTGACAACGTGGCGAGTATGATATGACACTATAAACAAAAAAAACAAAAAAAAAAAACTTGTTAGATTACTTTTTTTCAAATGTAACAACGTGGCAGGTATAATGTGACACTCTAAAAAAATAAAAAATCTTTTGTGTACTTTTCCCAAATGTGACAAAGTGGTGGGTATGATATAACACTCTAAAAAAAATAAAAACTCTTTAGTGTATTTTTTTTTTCAAATGTAACATGTGACACTTCAACGTGAAATGTGACACTCCAACGTGGCGGATATGATGTGACTTTAAAAAACTCCTTAGTGTATTTTTTCTAAATGTGATACTCCAATGTGTGAGTCTAAAAAACTCATTAGTGTACTTTTTCTAAATATGATACTCCAATGTGGCAGGCAAATAACTCATTATACATCTAAAATGACTAAATGGATTATAAGAAAAAATATGAAACTATATGAATTATAAGTTTAAAATATGAGACTTATTAGTCATTCTCTCTAATGGGCAAATTACCAACACCCCCTCGAGGTTTGACTAAATACGAATTTCTCCCTGAGATTTGAAAAATTACAAATTGTCCCCTGAGGTTTATATTTGCATAACAAATGAAGGAGCAATTTGTTATGCAAATATAAACCTCAGGGGGCGGGATGCAATTCTTCAAACCTCAAGAGGGAATCAGTATTTTAGTTAAATATCGAGAGAGGTATTGATAATTTGCCCTAAATAATTTGAATCATTAAAATGAACTTTGTGGTGGATTTCATGGACCAAACAACACCATTGACCGGAGGAAATTCTCTTTCTATTTATTATTATTATTTGATGCTGCTGCTAGTTTCTGATGAACGGGTCGAACGGATCTAGGCCTCCTACAGGGTTGTCCCATCGCTAGGCCCACTGAGAAACCTGCACAAAAGTTCAACGGGGAACGGGAGTCCCCCAGCGAACCCTCCAACGAGCAAGTTAGAAAAGAGAGTTTAACAGAATATCGAGATAGGATGATGATAAAAAGCTTAACCTTCTCATTATCTTAGAAACCTACTTATATCCTTTGATCATCATTTCCTTGTCCATTCCGACCTGTCACGTTAGCCGAAAGTCTATGTTCTAGCTTGCCTTGTTCATGGTGAGGCTGTTCTGTTCCGATGTGAAGGAGTTTTCATAATAAATGCTGGAGGGAACCTCATTAATGGCTGATATGTGATGCAATAACTCTGCAGAATCTTTGTCTGCCTATGTGGCTGGTTCATCTCTTGACAAGTATTTAGATGTCATTGGTTCTTGGTGGAGCGTTAGACTCTAGCAACGTTGGGCTTTGGTGTTTGAATTATATATTGGGCTCTAAGTGGTGGGCCAAAAACCCCTATAAGCCCACCTATGCCAGTAGTCCCTTATTTCCAAGTACAGTTTCAATCCAACGAAGGGAATAAGAAAGTAGACAAGGGTTGTGAGAGGTCGACGGAGAGAAGACCGACTGGGAGGTGGGCCGACCGTGAAGGGTGGCCGAGTGAGAAGGCTGACTGCGAGAAGGGCCAACCGCGAAGGGTGATTGAGTGAAAAGGCCGGCTACGAGGAGGGCCGACTGCGAAGGGTGACCGAGTGAGAAAGCCGACTGCGAGGAGGGCCGACCGTGAAGGGTGACCGAGTAAGAAGGGGAATTGACGGCGCGTGGGGCTCGAGGCGCGGCATGGCACGTGACGATGTAAAGTGGAATAGACATGGAAGAGGAAGAGAGCAGTGGATCGTGGTCGTACACGTGGCACAATCCCGTAACAAGGGAAGTGATGCTTTAGCAGGAAATGAAAGGATAGGCTAATATAGGGCGTTGAAGAGGCAGGGGCGAAAATTTTTGAAATTTTTCAAACTGGCAAAATTTAATCTTGACCCTTGGAATATAGGCAAACCGTGGGCATTTACAGTTGTTCACTTTACCTACCTTTTTGCAAAAAACCAACACGTCCCAGAAGTAAATTCATTTGTCTCGTGTGATACGCCGCTGCAACACTTTGTGAACTTCCTTGTGCCAGCATCCGAAGCTATACGTAGACACATAGGAGGAATGGCTCGAGATAAAGTGCCAACCATGAGACTAGACTCTTTAGGGGAAGACGACGCAGTGGAGTTGGCAGAACAGTATCAAGCGGAGCGGAGGGAGGAGAGGGGAGCCGCATAAGGAGTACAGGCTCGTCCGACAACGATGATCGTGGCCGCTGGCCAATTAGCCAAGTGGAGCCGGACCACTGGCACACGAAGGCAGATAGATCCACGTTTACGGCGGAGGAGTTGGAGGAGGTATGGAAGAAGTACCAAATTCCAGCGAAAATAGAGTTGAGGTTGTCCACGTCCAAGGAGAGGTCATCGGATGTCCGACCGGCAGAATTCACCTTGTATGAGGAAGCCCTACGGAGGGGTCTGAGACTACCACTCCCCCAAATAGTGGTGGACGTGCTGAACAAGCTGGAGGTGACGTGAGGGCAGTTGATGCTGAACGCTTGGAAAATACTGATGGCGTGCGCGGTTTCTTGGCCGCGAGCGACCGGGGGGGTGGCTATGACGGTGGATGAATTCTTCTCCTGCTACAAAGCCTCCGGTCAGCAAGAAACGTGAGTGACTTTGCAAGCGGTGGCGAGTCAGGGTTTAGTGGCATTATTAGAGGTTTCTCTCAGTTTTTCTCTGCCTCAGCCTCTGCCTTCGTCTTGGTTAAATAGCCGAGGCAGCCACGCGCATCGCGCGCCTCTTGACGCCCGACAAACTCAAGAAACGTGAGTGACTTTGCAGGCGGTGGCGGGTCGGGGTTTAGTGGCATTATTATTATTTTTTGTAAACCATCAATTACACCTTTCAATTTTGATATAATTTTTAATGTAAGCTCAATTTTTTACTCTTTTTTTTTATATTTAATTTCTAGAAAGTATTTTTTTAGAGATTTTTTATTTTCTAATGTTAATATAATAAAAAACAAAAATCAATAACAACAAAAACAAAAAGAAAAAAAACTGATTTATAAGCAAATTTATTTTCATATTTTAAAAGTAAAAAATATTTTCTGAAATAAAATTTTATCACTATCGCTATCACCTGTTAAACTATCATAGTCCTCACCAACAAAATAGACTCTCACCTTAACCACCATCACCACTATGGTGGTGTTTGGGAAGCAAGTTCCCAAATTTTTTTCTCATTTTTTTCACTAAAAGACAAAAGTTCCAAACAAAATATCACATCCAACCTCATAATCATTTCACTTTTTCTCTCACAAACATCACATCCAACCACATAAAAACTCAACTATCTTCCCAAACACCAAAAATTTTTTATCTCATAAAAACCTACATCTAATAAAATCTACATAAAAACTCACTTCCCAAACACCATCTATTACTATTACTATCTTACAGAGCGTCATTTCATTTTTTTAATAATTGAGTATTCAAATCAAATTACACATTTGCACCACACTACCTTCCCATCTACTTTTATCCTTAGTTTGTCACCACTACTTCCATGCCACTGGCACATCGATTTCAAGATGACAATCGAATACAATATTACATTTTATTTTATTTTTTAAAAAATATAGTTTTTAAGAATTTTTTTTTTCATTATTTTTTTTTTTATTTTTTTATTTTTTGTAACAAATAAAGCCTCAATTTTTCTATTTAATTCGTCCAGCTTTGTTTTCAATGCAACATTGAAACCTTTTAATGTGAAATTCAAATTTTTAAGTTTCATTGGGTAACATTTAAAATTCATCATTTTTTGTTTATAAAAATTACATCAAATATGTTTAAGTTTATTTTTGAATAAAATAAAAATAAAAATTTATATTAAACCATTTGACTTTTACAACTAAGTCAATAAAATCCAATTCATTGTTAGATGTGGGGAAAAAAAAATTAATAAATGGAGAAAGAAAATCACAGAGTGAAGTTATTTTTTCATTTATGATAAATTATCATTTTTTTTTCTTCTAAAATATTGTTACTTTCCATCTTGTTTGTCTCATATTTAAACTATTATTTTCTTATTTTAAGTCTTAAAATTAGATAAATTAGAAAAGGCACATGTTAATTTTTAGAGCAAAGTTATAATTCTTCAATAGAAGAATTAAAAATTCAAGTGTTACATTGAAACTAAAATAAAAATGAAAAAATAATTGATAATTTACTGTCTTTTTTTTTTTTTTTTTTGGGAAAAAAATAAAAATTTAAATTTTAAAATTGGTTCAGG